AGAGTGTGCATGAGAAGCTGCAATGCAGTCATCGGAAAGAGCAGCAAGCGTGCTTAACCTCGGAAACATCTCTTTAGCACCTAGAAATCCCCATTTTGGAGTGAATGTTTGAGGAACATTTGAGATTTGTTGTAAGCGTGGTTGGTGGGGCTGGGGAGATGGCTCAGTGGTTCAGAGCACTGGCTGTTCTTCCAGAGGACCCGGGTTCACAACAGTCTGTAACTCCAGTTCCAGGGGATCTGACACCCATAGACAGACAGACATGCAGGCAAAAGCACCAATGCACATGACATGAAAATAAAAATCCGTAAGTGCAGTTGGCACCATCCTACGGATTGGGGTTCTAGACTGAATGTAAAGGGGGAAGTGTGAAGTCATTTGAGAGGCAGAATTCCTTTTGTCTGTTTCCTGGTCTGTGGGGATGTGACTCGATCCTGTCCCAGGCTCCTGCAGCTCTGAACTCTGTCATGCCTTCCCCACCGAGAAGAGCCACCTAAAACACACATGGCTACCACTTTCTACTTCTGTGCCTGTGGTTGGATTCCTTAGGGAAGTGCTGAGAGAATGACTGAGAACTTCCTTAGAAGCCTCTAGAAAGAAAGCTATATTTGTGTAGTGTGATGAGCCCTCTTTAGGGCCAACCACTTTGGATACCAGTCCAGTGCCTTTAGACTGGAGCCAGGGCTGGGTCAGCCTGCTGTAGTGCAAGCTTTGTGTGATCTGGGGCTGACCACGTCCAAGAGGAGAGGGGGGTGGGGTGGGCCACGGCCACTTCAGGGTGGCGTGGAACCATTGACATCGTTACTGACATGACAAAAGCAACTTAAGGAAGGGAGCATTTGTTTTGCCACACCGTCTGCAATATAAGTGCTATTGGTAAACTGTCACGTGCTGTTTGCACTTGTTGAGAGCTGACTCTGAGAGAGACAGACTCCCCTAATCTCAAAAAGTGTCCTAGGAGACACTTTCCTGGGGCAGGCTGGTCTCATGCTTCTCCGACAGGGAGAAAGGAGAACACACAGCTAGAGAAGGTGGTCCATTTCTAACCGTTATTACGATTATTTCTCCTGGGATACAAAGTGCCTGAGGTGGGAGACTCCTCATTGGGGAGAAACCTCTGGTCTATCTGGAAATAGCCCAAACTGAACTCCAGCCTGACTGATAGACTCAGCTCTGCTTCCCCAGTCTTCCTGGGGGATGTTGTGGGTGCTGAATTTGATATTATCTATCTGCTGCTTGCTACTTATGTTTCCTTTGCTCGCTCTCCTACTCTGGTAACTACTTCTGCTGGATGTTGTCAGGGCCTGACTTGGCATTTTGTTACCTATCTGTCCCTTGCTACTTTGTTCTTTTGCTTTTGCTTGATACACATTTAGTAAACCCACCCCCCCCCAAATGTAAAGCTATCACAGGTCATTTTCTGTATAGAAGGCTATTTCAGAGGCTTCAGTCATTATGGCAGAGAGGTGTGGTCTGCCTGTCTCAGTTTACATCATAGCAGGAGCAAGAAGCACAGAGTGACAGGAAGTGGCCAGGGATGATACATCTACAAAGACTGACCTCCATTCACCCAAATCAACAGTCTTCCAAATTAGTACTACCAGTACGGAAACACACGGGGTCAGTTCATAATTCAAAGCATACCACCAGAGAAGCAGCTCCTGAGGCGGCTGCAGATGGAGGGGCGCCTGTCGACGGCAGGTGGCAAGAAGGGACTGGATCCTGAGGTGTCTCAGAAGTGGCTGCCTCTGCAGGGAGAGAAAGACAGGAATCCACGTTTATCATCTTCCCCAAGTTGTCCCTGCGTTTTCTTCTTTGATGCAAATGAACATGGGTGGCTGTGGGACCCGGGAGCTGGGACAGAAGTGGGAAACGGACCCGCAGAGGTCCTGGATTCTGCAGGTGCCTGCTGGCCTATTGCTATACACCACAGTAGTAACGGGCCTACTGTCAGGGCTTGGGGTCGTAGAGTCAGGCCACGGCCAGTTCTGTTTAGTGAGGTAGACTGGAGGAGTGCCACAAACAGAGGCCGCACAAAGGGCTGGGGGAGCAAGTGGGGTCCCAGAGATTTATTTACTTACTTATTTTTCAGAAGGGTCCGGCTGACCTGGAACTTGCTTTGTGGACCAGACTGGCTGCAAACCCAGC